GGAGGCAAGGGGACTAAATGATCTTCAAGTTCCCTTCTACGTCCAAATACTACATCAGAAGCTATGGTATCTAACATTCTACAATTTAGAAAACATATTTAAATGCTTCATTTAAATGATAAACTCTATGAGAAAAAAACATTAATTTGAAAGGTACCACAGAATACTGACCCTTGGATATCTCTCCTTCTACTCAACGCTTAGACTTGGAACAGTGCAGTACGTCAACATCAAGAGCAGCATCAATGTAGTAGAGATGACAGAATCTCTGCAGCATTCCACCTTAGGGTCTCAAAGACAAAATGGTAGGCTTTGGTGTCAACCTCCACAGTGTTTTTTCCATGTGTTTTCCTCCATCGGGTGACACAATAATCTACCTTATTTCCTAAGGTAAAGGAACTACGTGAATGCCTGCACACTGATACAGTCAATCACCTGATTTATAAGGCTTTCAAAGAATAAAGTGCTTCACATGGAAGTCTGGTAAATTTAGAAACTCGAATATACTCCAAAATCATTTTGAAAAGCTATGCCTACATCTAAAACACTATGTACTCTTGAGTCTTTGTCTCTACGGTTTTCATTTTGCCACGAAACACATCATTAAGTGTTTCAAAATAAATACCTTCCCCCAAACTGGCTATGAATTATGGAGGCTTTTTTTTTTTCCAGGAACTGGAGTGGAAAATGGAAGAACATATTTATGCTGAAAGATAAGTTTGGAGGAGATCTCTATTTTAAATATCTAATGAATATCAATAGGGTTTTCTTAACCATGGAAATGTGTGTTGCAAAGGCCAGAATGCACAGTATATGCATGTGTTGGATGGTTGGGTGGGTTGGGTTGGGGAGTGGGATAAGCAACTAAACTGGGTGTGTCAAAGAAAGAAAAAGCATTTAGGTAAAGTATATGGTAGAGGTTTGAGCCCCAAAAGAAAGCAGTTGACCAGGGAAAGACAAAATAGAGGAACCCCCCCCCCCCCGCCAATGATAGTCAATCCAAAGCTAGAAATGCAGTCTTTACCTAACCCATGCTGAAGGCCAAAGAAGACAAAAGAAATCTCCAAATGGATTCTATTATTTAAGAGACCACTAAATACCTAGGAATGGAGGGAAGAAGGTCAGAAGAACCATAATCTCACAAACAAGCAGAGTGGAAAGGCACCAAATACTGGAGAGGCCAAGATGTGATGACCAAAGAGACTATTTTGATATGGAACTTCTATCCATTTCAAGTTAACCAAGTAAAGTTAACTATGCTTGTGCGCAGAAGGTAGAATTAATTATATACTTAATCTCCCCCTGTAACATGAACGGCGGTGGATAACAAAGAAAAGGGATGTGGTTAATCCAAATTGGAATAAGGTACACAGATTCTGGTAAAGCAACCACACATGCCCCCATTCTTTGGGTGGTGGCTGAACAGAGAAAGTACCTCAATATACCGTGCATCACCCACTCTTCTATCTAGTACGTTCACAGAGTCACAACTGCTTAAAATATGGCTTGCCAATTGCGGGCACTATTTAGATTACCTACGTTGAGATCAACAGCTGTCGGAATGTTCCTGGCCCTGACCATGCTCATCCAAGCAGAGTTCCACAGCTGTCTTCTCTCTTTACTTTCTACTCCATTCCCAATCTGATCCCACTGTCAATAACCACAACCTCACTGCCAACTGCCGACTGTTCTCTGGTTCTTTCTGCCTTTCAGATCAATGGGTCTTTCTCCACTGGCTTCTCTCATTTCAGATGCATTCTCTGCCTCCTTTCAGAACGGCCCAGTTCCGCTCCATGTTCACCTGAACTAGGTTATAATGCTATCGACTGCACCTCCCTTGGAAATGTGAACTCCATTAGGGCAGGCCTCCTGTCTATCTTGTTCCATTGCCGATCTCTAGTGCTTAGAACCATACCAGTACATCGTAGCCCCCCAAAGAGGTATTTGCTGAATGAATAAATGGGTAATACATGACTGAATGGAGTTAGAATCTAAAGACACGGTTTCAGCCTCTTACAATTCGAAAGCTGTGCCTCCATTCTGTACCAGCAGAGTCCTAATCACCCCACAGGCCCTGTGGGACTCTACAAATTGAGTTTTCAACAGTGGTCTTGGCCTGGTCTTGCAGACAGGTTTCTTCCATGACTGCAAAAATGGTTTGGTTATGGAGACAATCAAAAAGTGCTGGACCACGGGTGTGAGGCTCCAGCACACTTAAATATGGTGGAATATTCCCCCACTCTCCTGCCTCCCTACAGACATTTGTTCTGATAAAGCCCTGGATAATCCGCATGTCTGCATTTCTGCACCCCAGCCAGTGATTTGCAGCAAGAGAACTGTTTCTTCCTCTCTGTTTGAGCTCCTATTGATTCTGTAGTTTAGGAGGAGTCCAAGTGCTAACCAAATACCAAATGTTCCATATGGTAGTGCTATTACCATTCTCACTACTGTAACGTCCAGCTTTCCTACCTACCTACACTCGTGAGGTGCCTCGCTGGAGTCTGGCAGGACACTATGAACTCTTTTCCTGCCCTATATTTGCTGACACATTTGTTGTCCTCTCTCCCTTTATGAACTTACTCATTTAATCAAAATAACATACGTATGTGTACAAATACAGGTTGCATTTTCTTATTCGCTCTTACAATCATTTATGGGAGAATAATTTATGAGCCATTAAAGAGGAGTTCTTAGGCTAAACTGTTTTAAATAGGAATTCAGATGTTCCTCCTCTTATTGAAAAATACAGAGCTGTTCAAATTAGACTGTAAGTGTGGGCCAAAACAAATATGCGGATTTACACACAACGGTTGCAGAATAGCCAGTGAAAAGCGTTAGCCAAAGCTCACCAAGTGGCCTTGTGTTTGTCTCCTTAATGCCAAATAATCCTTTGCCTCTTCTTCCTTCTATTTTTCAACTGTCTGATGTAGCTAAAGGATTGAGGAGCCTCACAACCCCACAGGTTTCCCTTCTGTGTTTATGTGGGATGAAGCACATGTTTCCTAAGAGCTGGGCGGGGGGCGGAGGGGGGGGGTCTCTCACTCTACCTTCTTGTTCATTTAATTAGGGAAAGGAAGCTTGTTTATCATGGGGGGAAGAGATGAGGCTGGTAGCTCATGCACCGAGCCAGACGGAGACTCTCCATGTGCAGCTCAAAGAGGCCAGGAACCCTCCCTGACCCAAGGTGCTCGCTAGAATGCAGGAGCAAGGCAACCTGCTCTCACACAAGGGCTGCTCCAAGGGGCCCATGGGCCAGGTGACATCAACGGATGTCATGGCTCTGTGCTCAATGGGTCTCTCTGACTTGCAGGCTTCGGTCAGACAGTTTCTCCAGAACTGTGATGACTCCATTAATTCAAATTAAAGCCATTCAGAAATATATTAAAACAATTTTGGGGGGGGAGGGATACCAGAGGAGGATGAAAAGAAAGAGGCAGAAGAAAAAAATAATAATTTTACAAGACTGGGATGACACTACGTTTAAGCGTCATATTTTGCTTTCTTTTTACTTTTATCATGAGCGGTTTCTGCTACCATTAAATAGTGTTTTGAAATGGGATTTTTAGTAATTTTCAACATTTCACCTATATTTTGTTGCCACAACATCCTATGAGATACATACTATTATTCTCTAAATTTTATAACCTTAGACACTCAAGATGTAAAGTAACTTGCCCAATTCAAGAGAAGAGCAAAACTGGAATTTGAGTCCAAGCAGTCTGGAGCCTGCAGTCTTATCTACAGTGATCTGCAGCCTCTGAATCATATGGAGCTGCCATAATTATATTGAATCATGCTCCCAATGTTGGACAGATACATGCATGGATACACACATACACATACTTTAATTTCAGTATAATTTCAGATCCATGTTTAATGTGGGCCATTTATTAAATACTTTTACTCTTATTAAGAAACGAAAAACTATGTTTTCCATTGAAAAAGTATTGCTATCCAGCAATATTGTGGTTGTCTAAAAATACTTGGCCAAAAAAAGGGGGACAACTCGAAATTCTCTAGGACCCTTCCATGCCTACTTGATTTAAGTGTTATTTCCCAAATGTCAAAAACTGGTAAGTTTTAAGCATGCTACTGTCTATTGGAGGAAAGTTCTTCAAAACAGTATGATTTGTAAATTTACAAATAAATGCCCCCTGCAAAAAAAAAAAATAATAAGACATGAGATACCATTTCTCATAATCAATTGGCAAGACTCTTTGTTTTCAAAATTCTCAGCACTGGCAAAATTATATGGAAACAGGTACTCTCATACACTGCCTCTGGAAATATAAACTGGTTTGACTTTACAGAAAAATAATCTGGCAACAAGTAGTGTCAAAAAGTCTTAATACTTGAAAACTTTTAAACCCTCCAATTTACTGGTAAGGGAGTATCCTAAGGAAGTCACTAGTAATGGCAATTAATATAAAGCTATGAGAACATTCATGGTAGCATAAAAGCCAAAAAAAAAAAATTAGAAACACCCTAAATGTCCAATAGAGGGGATCAATTAAATATATTTTAGGATATACTTTCAATGGTCTACTATATATAATCATTAAAAATCATGCTGTAAATATATATCCATTGGTATGAAAAGATGTTCATTATTACATATTTAAGAGGAACAAAAAAGTTAGGTAATAATATATATTGTATTATTCCCTACTATCATCTGATTTAGTCTCTCTAGCTGAACTTATGAACACCATGTCATTAGAATTCTCTCTTTCTTATCAATGCCTTATCATCCATCCTAATCAGTGATCTCAAAATAATTAGAAGCTATTTTCTTTCCCACAAAAAAAGCAAGGGTTCCATTTTTATAAGACACAGACAGAAGAAATAGCTGGAGAATATGCGAATCTCTAGATATATGTTTATGTGGTGTGTCTGTGTGTGTGTGTGTGAGAATAGGTATGCACACATCCCCACCACTCTCTTGGGAACCTTACACTAAATGATGGTTATTTTTAGTTCAAGATTTTGGAGATATTTACCTGTACCATGTGTTTTCGTCACACTGGAGAAACATAAGCAGTCAGTTCCTTCCCAGTGGATCTTTCCACACAGATTTTGCTTGAGTGGAGGGGGTGGTAGTAGAGAAATTCAGTGTAAAATGCCTAGACCTGTAATTATAAAAACAATTTCCCACTGAGTTAGGCAGCTTTCTATGGCCTTCATTCACATTAGCTGAAGTCACAGAAAAGAAAAACATAGTTGCATAATCTCTCTCTCTCTCTCTCTCTCTCTCTCTCTCTGTCTCTCTCTCTCTCTCACACACACACACACACACACACACACACACACACACACACACACACTTCTTATGGCAGAATGTTAAAAACTCAGCAAGCAGACCCACAGCAGGTCCTCATCTCTGGGGATGAGAGGGTTCTGGCCAGGGGTCACACCCCACCCCATCTTCTAACTTCAGGGATGTCACCGTCAAGATGATGTCGTCCCTTCCCCTCCTTCCCTAATGATTCTAAAACTTCAGAGCAATAAAAAAAAAAAAAAAAAGGTTCTCCAGAAAATGTCAGCAACATTACTGAATTTGATGGTATCTTAAGATTCCTTCCAGCCACAAAGTGAAGCAAATTCAGTACCTGCTTTTACCATAACAGCCTGGTGTCCACTTTCACAACTCTATGTGACTCTCTGTTGATGACTCAGGTCCAGCACAGTATTGGTGATAAAATTCAAAGTCATCACTAACATTTACTGAACACTTAATATGTTCTTGGCTTTATGCACATTACCCCCACTGTACTGCACCCTGTAAAGTAGCTGGCAATCATTACTATCTCTGTTATTGACAAGCAATCTGAGCGTTCGGACAGCTAGCAGATGTTAAAGCCAGGATTTAAGCCAATATTGTTCACAGAGGCATGTTTATAATTTCAGTATTGTACCATCTCTCCCAAATTGATCTTGCTATCAACATGCCTGTACTTATTACAAAAAACATTAAGTATAAAATTGACATCACCTTATTTTTTCCCAGAGTTGATATGTTACATAGCTCTTAGCATTACTAACTCTTTTTAGATGTGGCTGCCCTTCGATTTTAATTCCCAAGCTAAATTGAAATCAACATGTTGCTATTTCAATCAAGAGTAAATTCATAGTTATTTTAGTCAATTAAAATGCCAACTAATCCCAAATCCAGATGCCAAACCACAAAGGAAAAACCTAAAATCCCAGTCCCCCCTAAATGGCTACATTTTATTGGAAAGAAGAAAGATTAACAAAATCAAGAACCATATGTGAATACCTAATTTAAGTAAAGAAAGGAATTTCTATATATTATAGTATGTCTATGGTTTAAAAAATACCTATTTACAAATTCTGTATACTACAGGTTTTTGAATCACTGCAACACAAAATAGATGTGAGCATATCAAGAAACCAGCAGTTATGGATGGGTCACATATTAATTTCCCTTTTAGGCGTGTGTGTGTATATTTACTCGAACTATTTTGGTTATACCTCTGGTGTAGGTATAAGGTTATAACCACAAGGTTATACCTTTGGTTATAACCTCTGTTATGCCACTCCCTTTGATTAGCATGCCTTTTACTACTTGCCAACGAGAAAATGCCTATTCACTCTTCAAGGCCAACCTCAAACCTCAATTCCTTATGATATCCACTCCCCCCAATCTGATGTTTCCCGGAAATCCAAGCAATGGATTCTGCCCTCTCCTGTTCTCCTAGCTCAGCAATGGGCACCAACATCACCCTGACATCGTCCTCTCCCTAACTATGCCCCATATCCAACCAACCAGTCATGGAGTCTACCACCAGCACACCACCCTTCTAACTCTCCCCTACACCACCACCCCTGCTCTCGGCCACCAAGTGGCATGCCTCACCGGGACTATTGCACTGGCCTCCCAAATGGTCTCCCTGCTCCCACTCCTGCCACCCTTCAGCCCATTCTCCTCCTGCCCATCCTCCGCTCCTGCTTACAGTAATGCAATGGCTTTCCATTGAGCTAGGTTCTTAACATGGCCTCCAGGGCCCAGTATGGTCCAGTCCTTGCGCTCTTTTCCAGCCTGCACTCCAGCTTTTCCAGGCTTACTTTTAATTCCTAAGAAGCACTGTGCTCTCCTAGGCCTCAGGGCCTTTGCACATGATCTCCTCTTCTCCCCAAATCACCCACCTTCTTCAGATGACCCTGTATTCTCTCCTTCAGATCTCAGTTCAGTCCTCTCCCACCCGGGGGAGACTTTCCTGACCTCCACGGCCAGGTCATTACCTCCTACCACATGCTTTGAGGGAAACACTTTCCTTTTATATACCAGTCACCTTTATAATTTTACTTTTTTTTTTTTTTTTTTTGCTGGATTGGTTGACTAATGCTTGTTTCTCCAACTAATTAGTAAGCTCCAGGAAAGCAAAACTGTGTACACTCTTGTCCACCCTTTCATCTTCAGTATTCGACACAGGCTTGGCACATTATAGACATTAATTTGCTGATGGCTCTTCAACACAGAGAATCTGCATTCCTTTGGACAGCATGCACGGCTCCTTGAGACCCGCCCCCAGCCCGCCATGTCCCTGCTCCAGCTGCCTGGACGCTCAGCACTTCCATCCCTGTGGCTTCCTCACCTCACCATCCCTGCCTTGCTCTTGCTCACCCCCACACCCTCGGCTTCTCTGTCCCCTTGGCACGGCATCGTTTCAGACTCATTTATCAAGTCTCAGAGATAGGACTCCTTTCCGCAAAGACCTCTCTGGTACTTTCTAGGAAGCTGGTGCCCTCTTTCCCTGCTTTTCTACAACACCCTGTACTTTCCCTATTGAAGCAATTATCAGGGGCACCTGGGGGGCTCAGGCAGTGAAGCGTCTGCCTTCGGCTCGGGTCATGATCCCAGGGTCCTGGGATCCAGCCCCGTGTTGGGCTCCCTGCTCAGCAGGGAGCCTGCTTTCTCCCCCTGCCTCTCCCTCATGTGCTCTCTCTCTCTCTCTCTCTGTCAAATAAATAAAATCTTTAAAAAGAATTAAGCAATTATCATATTTTCTTGTACTTTTATCTTAAATGAGTCCACTTCTCCCAATACACTGGAAGTCCCTTAAAGGCAAGACACTGTACTATCCCCAGATTTTAGCACGGCAGCCTATAACACATAGTCTACAAATCAATATTTGTGGATGAACAAAAGAACATACATACACATACATATATACACGTACAAACATGCATATGCATATATGGATACGCATATATTCATATATATACAAACATACATATGCATATATACACTTCTATACACATATCTACTATATATACATACAAATTTCACATGGGCAAAGCTTCAGAGTTGAATATTTAAAATATGTTATTTTTTTTTTTTAAGATTTTATTTATTTGAGACAGAGACTGAGAGCATAAGCCAGGAGACACAGGGAGAGAGGGAAGCAGGCTCCCCACTGAGCAGGGAGCCTAATGTGGGGCTCAATCCCAGGACCCTGGGATCATGACCCGAGCCGAAGGCAGACACTTACCTGACTGAGTCACCCAGGTGCCCCTAAAATATGTTATTAACATAGCAGTATATTTTAATTATTAAATGTGAGATATAATGGTTATAAATTCATCTGTAAAGTTGGTCTAAGAACATCTTTAACTGAGTAGTTGGGGAAATTAAAGAATATTAAGTAAAATGTTTAGCAGAGAGCTTAGCATTCTAGAAGCATTCCATAAATATTAATTGTATAATCATTATCACTATCAACATTGTCATTAGGGCGACCAAGTTGAATTTATAATCCATGCTTCAAATTTAAGTTTTATTGGCCAACATATTTTCCTATTAAAACATTAATTAGCATTACTATCTCTATAAGGCCATAAAAATGGCTAAAGTTTGCATCCAGCAAACTAGGGATAAAAAAGAGTCTTACTCACTATAGCTAAAGGACAAATTATTATTTCAGTAATCTGCCATATATGTGTAGAGGTACAAAAGCATCAACAGAAGTATTTCTATATAAAAATTATCTATAAAATCTAAATGATTCAAACAACAAATCTTATCTTTCCACTGCTATAAACATTTGGCTGAGATAATTAGAAGTGCTTACTACAAATTACTTCTTTTGCTAAAAAAAAAAAAAAAGAGAGAGATACACCATTCATCCCTTTCTTTTAATTACTGGACAGAGTAATGTGACTTGATAAATATGTATTACATATTTGCCTAATGAATATGCCATAAATGTTTGAATTAATAGCAAATACATTTCATGTGTCACCTATTAGATGTCATTCTGATTTAGAATTGCTGAAATTTAAGGACCTAGACTATGCAAAGGAGGGAAAAACAGGCAAGGCAAATTTGCAACAGTGTTTTGGAAAAAAAAATAACGTGAGAATGAACTGTTTACAAATGTTACCAGTACACACTGGAGCAGAATGAACTGGTAATAATTTATCCTACAAAGCAAACTTTTAATTTGGCCCTTTATTGTTCTTTCTCTTGCATACTGGCCAAACGTACATAATGAATACTAAAGTACTGAAATGTAACGTACTAACATCATTGCATTTTGAGATTTCTGTTTTCAGTTCATCTTTAGCTCCGTGACACAGGAAAGCAAGTCAGAGTTTTAATTGGGGCTCACCTATTTTTTGAAACATACTAGAGTTACAGAGGGAAAATAATATAAAAAATGCTAAATTCTTAACTTCTAATTGTTTTACCACTAGAATATTAAACTACTTTTAAACTGAGTTATAATTCTATTCATTGGCCGCAACCACTGGGCACTTTAACATAATGCAAACATGTTGTTCTTTACAACATAATTAAGAGGAAAAAAAAAGTCTCAATTTACTTAGATAATTTTTATCCGAATTTGCTATTAATTTCATTATCACAATGCTTGTGTTCATGTCATAAAATCCGGTGAAATCTTAGGAATTTATAAGGCAAAATTCCTCTTTATGCTGGTGCATCATCAGTTGGGAATGCCCTTCTCACGCATTCAAATGCTATTCCTGCTTTAAGATCTGGCTCAGATATCACTTCCCGGGTGACACGCCCCCACACAGACCCTATTTGTCCTTTGTCTTTGTCGACTGTGAGCCCCTGTCACTGACCATCTCTCCGCATTTTCCC